GGCAGATTGCCCCCTCAGTCCCCCGCAGGATGGAGTCTCCCACAACAAACACCTTATGTTTTGTCTTGGGGAGAGTGGGGGCGGTAGCTGCAATTGAGCCTGTGTTGCCTGTGGGAGGTGGCAAGTATGAACTACTGCAAGACTGTTTCAGGCTGGAAATAAGGGATACTGTCCAAGCCCCCAACGTCTGGAATAGCTTGCTATCGGAAGTGGTTCAAGCACCTACACTGAACACCTTCAAGAGCAAATTAGATGCTTGTCTTGATGGGATCCTATGACCCCAGCTGACTTCCTGCCCTTCGGGCAGGAGGCTGGACTCGATGATCTTCCGAGGTCCCTTCCTACCCTAGTGTCTATGAAATTTATGAAATCATTTTGCATATTTTATAAATAGCACCTTTCCTGTCTTCAAAGCACTTTGCAAAAGTGGTAAATTATTGTTTTCTACATTTTATAGATGCATAAACTCAAGCAAAGATAAATCAAGTAACTTCCTTAAGGTCATACAACAATTCAGGAATGAAGCTCATAATCTTCACACCTCTAAACCTTATATCTCTCTTTTCCAACCACTTAACTATGTCACTTTCTTCAGTGTTGCAGCCCACATTTTGCATCACTTGCATATTGGCCAACTAAAACATTTTTTTGGAACCACATCAACCGACCTGCTCTTTTTGCTCCAGTATTTCAGGCACCCAGCCTCTCCTCTTTCATATCTTTCTTTTGAAGCACTTGAAGCTCCAACCTGCCTTGATAAAAGTGTTGTCATCCATCTACAAAACTTAAAGGGTAAAATGAAAGAGAAAAATAATGATACTACTATTATTATTGAAATCTGCCACTTTATTTTGTGTTTTTTTGTCTTGTCTCTTTGGAACAAGAACTGCACCTTAGGCTGTTCATTAAATATTATTGGCATTACCATATTTTCTTGTATATAACCCCACCAAATAAACTGTTCATCATATTTCAGGAAGACAGAATGAAGAAGAAAAAGATTTTTCCAGAGTCATGGCCAAAAGCTGACTGCACAGAGCAGATCTGTCTCCCTCAGCCAGCTCACTGACTTCTTCATGCAAAAGTACAAGTAAAAGTCCATCACAGCCACTGCCAGATTGGCAGCAGCTTTTGACTGCTCAGCCAAAATTTGCTCAGCTGTGGCTGTAAGAAGTTAAACTCTGACTCTGCCCCTGCTGAATGCTGGCCAGAGAGAAGGGAGAGAAGCAGCGCAGAAGCCATTACAATGCTATTTCAGAGCTGAAATAATCTTCTCTGCTTAACATGTGCACCCCAATTTTAGAGAGCTAATTTTGGAGGGAAAGTGGAGTGTGGCATGCAAGTAAATACTGTGATGATAATTTTCAAGGTAGTAAAAGATCACACCTCAAGATACTCTGGTAGACAGAGTAACATTCAATAAAACAAGTTTGGAATGCCATATTTAATGTTCAGCATTTTCAGTGACTGCAAAAATTTACTGTGTTCAGTAGCTGGACCTAAACATCCTTTTCCCCCAGAGAACCCTATATAATAACTCTTCACTTTTACACTTGCTAAATTAGTATTTTTGGAGTATATACATATTAGAGCATGTGCAAAATGAATGCCAATTCTATGGAAGCTTATCTTCACAGCAGAGTTAACTCAGGCCCTAACTTTTCCCTGTCCCGAAACTTGCACTTGTCTGTACATAAATCCTCTCATATGAGTAAGGCAGTGTTTTTGAGCTAGCTATATGCTAAAACTCAACTGCTGCTTATACTCTGACTGCTATCTACTGTTGTGTGGATGCAGGCTATATTACTCAAGTGCTGGGATAAGCTGATGGTTGCTATTAATATTCTTAGATACCTGGCTGGTAGATTTTGCTGATGCTTCTGGGATTTAAGCAAATGCCAGATTTGGTACCAGAAACACATTTCTTCCAGGTCAGACTGGAAAAGACTATGGCAGGGAAGGTGGTTTCCTCTCTGGCAGGGGGGGTGATCCACTTCATAGGATCTGCTGGTCATATTTTACCTCATTGATTTCTTGCCACTCCAGGTGCCCAAAGTTTTTGTGGTGTTCTTGCATTCTTATTGCATTCACTGCATGGGCATGGTTAGCAAGTTGATTTTGTTGTTGCTAGTGCAGCGGCTCTTATAGTAGCCAAGATCCTAAGTGTGTTATAGGAGGCTTTGGGGCGCTGGTGTACAGAAAGGGCTGGAGTGGATATACTTGGGGACCCAGCTGGACAAACATTTCTTACATGGTTGCCTGTGATAATGGTCAATTGGACCTGATGGCTTGGGTGATCTCTTCCAGATCTATGTCCCTGTGTGCCCTAAAAGACAAATATGCATTCCCACAATTCAGAGAAAGAGAAAGAATCACAGAACCTGTCCGAACCACAGCGCTAAGAACACAAAGATCCTACTGCAGAAGTCCTAGGGCCTACACAAATGAGCAAGGCACCAATGTCAATGCACTAAGTGGACAGAATTGAGTATGGCTTTACAATATAACCTTTCACATGCAAACACTAATCACACAAGTTAATTCTGTTGTGAAAACATACCCTGATACAAAAGGGAGTAAAGTTCTCTCTAAGGTTGGCTTTGAGGAAAGCCAACACAGGTATAAATGTAATAAACAATCAGCGTGAAGTAGCTTGATGTTTTAAAAAGTGTTTTTACAGCGGTACATGAGTTTAAAGTATTCCTTTGAACAATGGAAGGTGACTGACCTGCTACTTTACATCTTTTATGATGTGTTTTCAAAAATGTTTAACAAATATACAGAGAGCAGAGACTTAGGCCTTTTCAGAGAGAAGCATTGTTTCTCAGAATCACACAGGGCTCTTAAAAAAGTAAAAAGTTCTAGGTTCGCATTTAACATCAACTATTTTATGCATTCAGGGAAGGCAATTCAATTTTATCTCTTTCCATAGCAAGATATAACAAATAAAGAACATATTTTGGCCTCTGCTTGTTATCTGACATACTTGTCATTAGACTGAGAAGCAAAATGAAAACAAAACTTTACTGACTCATTTACAATATCTATTCAGTGTCAAGGAACAACAGAGTAGCAACAATAGTATCTATATATTCCCAGTGTAAAAGTCAATGTTGTTGTCAAACACAACAATGATAAACCTGAAGACATTCTACATTTTCCCTACTTGCATGCTACAGAAGAGCTACACTCATGCTATGATTATTTCTATTATATTCCTTACATATTTAAAGAAGTGGTTCATAATTGCATTTCTAAGTCTTTGCCACAACCTCTCCAAGCTGCCTCCAAAGGGAAAAAAACAGCTTTTAAATAATTTAGATATCCGACCACCTGAAAGAGATTCAAGGTCTATGCAGTGCAGTTATTTTGCTCTATCCCCAAGTGGTTTAAGCCTTATTTCAAATACAGCTGAAAAATTATTATTTTTCCTGCTGCATAATAAATCTAGATTAAATATGAAACAAGACATATGCTGGATTTTTTTTTAAATCGCAAACCTTCCTCATACTGAAAAAAAACTTCTCCTGGCCAGTTCTTAGGATGTCTACCCCTCCCTTACTGTTCCTGAACTTCTGTGTGCCCCATCCTATCAACTCCTCCATAATCTTTAAATCTTTTCTCCATTAGGTTCTGGGGCTACATCCTTTCATGGTTCTGCTACTCCAGTGTGTCAGCTGAGGGAGGGGGCATTTCCTTTCCTTCTCCCTTTTTCACAGGTTGTTCCCCAAGACTCAATCTTTGGCACCCTCCTTCATCTCTGCACCCTGTCCCTAGATGCTTTAATCTCCAAGCATGACTTCTAATGCCCTCTTCAAGCCTCCACCCAATCCTGGCCTCCTTTCTGATGTCTTTTCCCCAAGTCTTCCCTTTTCACACCCGATTTCTTTGTCCGTTCACCTGGACTGCCTATACATGTGTTCCAATGCATGCTAATTAGAAAGCACTGGAGCAGACTCGATTAATTAAGTCTGCTCCGTGTTCTAATTAGAATACTGCAGCATCACCCCAGCATCATGTGTATTAAGCCCCCATGCATTTAAAAATGGCCACAGGGCATTTTAACTAAACCTCATCAAATGAGCTTTAGATCAAGCGTCCCACAGCCATTTTTAAATGCATGGGGGCTTAATACACATGATGCTGCAGCTTTTTAATTACAGCAGCTGTTGGAAACCACTCTAATTAAAACACCCCCCCACACACAGGCACCTCCAAGCACATGTATAGGCAGCTCTGTTTATCTACTGCTACATACTCGTTCCCAGACATTCTCTCTCTTCTTATTTGTCTGTATGCTACCTAGCACAATGGGACTTGCATTCTTGATTGAAGTTCCTTGGCACTACCGTAATACAGAAAACATTAAGCTAAATATAATCTTAAATGGGTGGAGATTGCTTTACTACACAGAAAAGTATTTCAGTATACATAAAAAAACAAAACTTGTCTATATATCTGTACAGAAGCCCATACAGCAGCAGGAAGCAGACGATTTCTGCAATGCAGATAAGATACTGAAGGTGATTTTGGAAACCACTGAATGAGAGCAAAGACTCTCAGAATATAAAACTTTAAACAGGTGAGGGGTGGCTGCATTTGGTTGCTACCATGGAACTAAAATGATACTGTCTGATTACTAAATTTTGATACATCTGAGCTTCATGTGGATGCAATCAAGTTTCTCCTCAAATGTACAACTTAATTTGGCTACAAACAGAAAAGCTATAGAGATTCTGATGAGCACAACAGGGCAAGATACTTGTCAACAATTGCTGTCTTGAGTTGTCAAGTTTAAATCTATATAGAGATAACCTCTTTAATGCAACAAAACATGGGTGTAGATCATTCAGTTAGAACCTGAGTTCTACTTTTAGGTCACATACAGACATTACACTTAAACTGGTCTAAGTGAACACAGATTGATCTAAACCCATAACCATACAGAAGTTTAGCACTCATAGACCCATCTAAACATGGCACAAGTGACCTAAGATAGATTTAATATGATGTACACTCAGCTGAGATCAATTCAGGTTAGATCAATGTAATGAACTTGTATACTGTCTCCCTATCCATTAAAGTTAGATTGCTGTCCTCTGGCATCCCAGCCTGCTTTGCAGCCCCCCTACACCTCCCTTGCAGGGAGGTGTGCTAGCACTCAGCACCGCCCCAGCTGTCTCAGTGCCAAGTAAGGACAGCCTCTCTCTCCAGCCCTTCCTTCAGACACCTGTCAGCTGCAGGCAAGCAGCAGTGGGAAGCGATGTGTCTTTCCCCCCTGCACAAGTCCTGGAACCTAGGCACCCATGTCCCTAGACCATGCCCCCATACCCTGTCACATACATGCAGACTCTAACACTGAGCCAAAGAGAACCTACGTGCTCTGGCACAGCCTCACAGACCCCAACCCTGGCACATACACACCCAGCCAGGGACCTCTATGGCCCTGCACTTGGGCACAGCGCCACAAACCCCAACTCTGGCACCCATACACTACATCTCAGAGGCCAGAGCCAGATGCCCTGCAACCCAGACCTCAGTATAGATATCACCCTCCCAAGCAGGAGCCAATGCAGGCAACTTGTCTCCTGTGGGACAGGGCAGTGGAAGGCAGAACATCAGGACTGGGCCTTCAGGTAGGCAACCATGTAACCTCTGTGGCTTGGCCACTGCTGGCAGGTACCTGAGCTGTGTGCACCAGAGTTGCTACAAGTGTTTTCTGCCCTGAAGCTACAAGGTCCTGGAGTACTTGGGCTGGGCACTGAGCATCCAAGTTGGGG